ATGTGTACGTGTGTGTTGGGGAGAAGCAGGGGGTAGCAGTATACCTTTTATTTCCCCGTCCGAGTTATCTGAATAGCTGTCACCCTTGTCTTTTGCTTCCTTCCTGCCCTGACTCTCATCTGTCTTTGAAACCTCTCTCGCTGCCTCCTGCGCCGACTTGCTGCAGCTTATTGTTGATTCTGCTGCCGACGCAACAGATGTAGCCAAGTGGGTCAGAGAGAAGCCGGAGGGGGGCTGCTGGTCGTCCTGCTGCGGCCTCTCTCCGATGTACACCTGGAAACAGCCGCTGGACGAGGCGGCAGATTGCTCTGGGCGGCAGCTATTGTCCCCAAGCCGGATATAAGTGGCTGACTCTGTTGTCTGCTTTCTCTTATTGCTGTCATCCTGATAGAGGCAACAAAACGCCTCCTCTTTGACGTTGCCCGCTGGAAACAAGCAGGGTTGTAAACACTGGGCAACAGGTTGTTCGTCCCTGCTGGTTTTGGAGCCTGGGGTCCATTTGGCCAGCTGTGTTGCCAGGTAGGGCGCATCCTGGAAGTCGCTGAGCGACACACCGCCCACAGGAACCTCGTTTCTTTTGGCGAGTGATGACGATCCAGCCTTCCCAGTGTTTCTCATCACTGGATATCCGTACTCTGCAGATGTGTGGATGTACATTCCAGGGCTGTTGGAATAACTCTCACCACTGAAGGAAGATGATCCTCCCATTAAGGAATCCATCAGGAAGTTACCGGGCGCTATGTTATTCGGGCATGACATTGTGGAACTTGGCAACACAGTAATCTTTGGTGTGTTCCACTGGTCTGAACTACGGGATTTCTCCAGGAGAATAAGGACAGTAGGATGCTGACATCTTTCGGAGTTGGGTGCAAAAATATCAGTAACATAATTATGGACGCTAGGAGCCATGTCATGTGATTTTCAGACCAATAGCGGGGTGGAAGTGGCCTTGATGCTCCAGACTGACGTGACGTCAGCGCGGTCAAGTTGGGAAACCTGGAGGGTTTTGATGGTGCACGAGCGCCACCTAGCGACCATGCGCCGGTCAGGACAGCAGGCCCACAGCAGGAGGAACAAAGGACGGCTGCTGCTGCAGTGATTTTTAACACGCTCACTACGAGGCTTTTCACTAATTTGCCTCAGTTTAACTTAAGAACTTCCTTTTTCGCATTGGTGCCAGTGTTATGGAGATGAAGCCATCGAGGATCTGTCAAAGACAGACTGATTTTCGTGTCAGTTCTTTTTTTGTTTTTCACCGATTTGCTTTGTTGTTGCCACCGATTTAGCAAGGTAAGCAGGTGTGTTATTTAAAAGAAGAAACCTGCATAGAAAGACCAACTTCTTTATGATTTTCAAACTGTAGTGATGAGTGAAAGTGTAGATTCAGTTTTACCTCCTTGATGTTGGGAAGCAGTCCAGGATTGAATGCTCGCTTTGACCTGCTAAACGTAAGACTGTGATATCTTCCGAAATGCATTATACAGACAGACCTGCTTTTGTAGAATTTCAACTACACATTTCATGCATTTGTTTTGAAAACCCTATACCTCAGTTTGGGCTGCCATGTTCACCCGCAGATTATTAATGAGTATTTCTCTTAATATTATTTTACTACACACCACCAATTAGTCCAGGTTCCTTTCAAAAATAAACATATTAGATGCTAATACTTAGCTCTGGGCTAACTCATGAAGTCACACCTGGCTGTTTAATTCTGTTCTTTAAATGGGCTCCAAAATATTAAGTAAACGGTTCACTAGTGAACGATGGGATAGTTATCA